CAGGTACCGGCTGGACGCGCTTTGGACTCGGAGCCCACCGCGTCTCTGACGCGTATTCTGCGGAACCGGCTTTTCCCCATTTGTGGCATTGAACTGTTCGGTCCAGCTTACTTTCAAAGTAAATGTTACAGATTCGGGGGGAAGCATTTTCCATTCTATGCAGAATAAACGCTTTAGAGGGTCTTTTAAATTCAGGTCCTTGCGTCTCCTGTTCCCTTTGTTCAGGAGCATCATGTCAGCTCAAGAACGGCAACAGGCACAGCCCTCTCTGCCCACTTCAACCACTTCTTCTGAGGCTTCAGAGTTGGATGCTGCAAACAAATATGAAACTGTTGTTCCCCACTGGTTTTACTGCAAGGTCATGGACTCTAGAGAGCGATGGATCCCCTTCAGCACACAGGATTCGGAGAGGCTGGAAGAAGCTCACAGCTCAGGTAGGATGAAAATACCCTTTGTCAAGTGCTGCTCCATCAAAAAGCACAGGTAAAACTCTATGAGTTCTTCTTTTGAAACACCACAGGCTGGAGGATTTCAAACCACTGCTTGGCTTCAGCTCCTGTAATTTCTAATTTTAAATAGCCCTTCATTTTAAATACCTAGTCCCTGATCTTATAAACAGTAGCAGGACCAGGCCAGGTGAGGTCCTAAGAGACTGGTAAGGAAAGCATCAAGTGTGTTGTCAGAGGAAGTTAGGCTGTGATGCTCTGTCCTAGTATCACAGGGGAATTCTCTGAATACATCCATGGCTTCTGCCTGGGATGGAAAATTTTGCCTCTGGAATTTTAAATTCAGACTTTTTTGGCAATGTGCCTGCTCCTAGACCTTTAACACATGAATAACTAAGTTCTTTAGGTGCACTATATGGTCAGACCTCATTCATTTGATATACGCTTTAAATTATATATAAATCTACTTACTTGCAAAGCGCTCTTCTCCTGTGAACAGGAGAGCGTGAACAGGATGGCAGCTGAAAGACCGGCACGGGAGAATTTCTCCCAAGGGGAGGCTGTTCTACAGATTTTGTGGTGTTCTGTGATGACCTTCTTGGGAGAGGTGCTGTCCAGACAGCAGCTGGGTCTAGTCTGAGCAGTACCACTTCAGCATGAAGCCCTCATGTTGCTAAACACTGTCTGCATGCACAACCACTGTGTACAACCTGCTGCTGAGGAATGTATTTAAAGCACTGGTTCTGCCAACAGATGTTGCAGAACGTTGTTTGTGCTCTTCCTCCCTCTCTAAGAAAGCTTTGGATTAAAAGCTGTGCCAGCAGTTCACGTGCCACAGCCAGAGAGCAGAGCCTGACATGGGCCGCTGTAACTGCATCTCGTTAATGGGTCGGACCCAAGAGACAGCAGAACTAAATATGCAGAGTTCTCTGTTTGATTTAGAGGGGAATGGCTTAGAAATCAAGAGACTTACACCTGCAGTGTTAAGCAATGCGTTTCCCAAGGCCACAAATTCATGTTTTTACCATCTAAGCATAGGCAGGAAGAGACCATGTTAGCCTGTGCCTGGAGCTAGAAGGGGGAAGACAGCTGTTTGTCGCTTAATGCCTTGATCTTACCTTCTGCCTCTGGAAGAAGTTTGACATCAGGCACGTCTCTCCCAGGATGCCCTCAATGCTGTTCTGTGTTCTCATATGTGGAAAACGGTTTTTACTGCTGTTGCTTGTGTGCTTTCTTGGTATGCTCTCTGTAGAAGGTACTCAACTCTTAGCTCTCTAATTTGGCATAGTAAAAAGCTCTCTCGTAGTTTACCTTTCTGGTCATGTCATGATTAATTTCATCCCTTGGTTCCTGTAGGGAGAGACAAGGAAGATCTGATAGTCCCAACATCAGGGGGTAGGTACGATGTGCATTTGAAGAAGAGGCAGCGCGTTGCAGTGTACTGGGAGGAGGAGGTATCTGAAGTGCGCCGTTGCACCTGGTTTTACAAGGGAGACAAGGACAATAAGTATGTTCCCTACTTAGAGACCTTCAGTGAAGAATTGGAGGTAAACACACCTTTCCTGGTAGCTTCCATCTTGCCAAGAAGCATCTTGGCTTCTAACTGTCAAATACTAGCTGTGAAGTCTGAAACCCCATGTGGGGCTACTGGCGCCTGAGGACATGAACTCAAAAGAGGCTTTAGCATGACATTTTCACATCTGATTAGCATAACTGTAAACAGTGCTGCTGTCTCCCTCCCAGCATGCTGTAACTAAGCAGCCTCCCTTTTCTCCTGCCCTTGCTCTAACAGTTTCCTGAATCCTGCTATAAGTTTAAGTGCCCAGTTGTTTTCAGTATGCCAGGCACCTCTGGCTTGCTTGTAATCTCTCTAGCATCTTTGATGTTTTTTTTCCCCCGACCTTGTCTGTTGTGACTTCTACTCCCTTTGGGAATTATCTTCACTATGCTAATCGTTCCACTAAAGCCAAGGCACTTTTACATGCAAGAAAGGGTACTCAACACGATGGGGACCTGTTGAACACTATGTACTGTTATGATCATTAGTAGTCTCTGCTGTCAGTAGACACTACTATCAGGGAAGATACATATATATGTGTATATATAAATATATATACACAATAATCTGCATTCTGATGTACGAAACAAATGCAGTTCTGAATTGCTGCTATTAAAATTGATGCTTCTTGGAAACTGTTTAGCAGGTGTTACTTAGGTGACTCTTGTTTCTCCAGCTTCACCTGACTGACTTCTATGCCTCTTTCACAAAGCGTGCTGATAAGAGATACCTTAAGATCGATGGGAAATCTCTTAAGTTGAATATTCACTGAAATACCTTCAACCGACTTACAAAGGATGCCTTTTTCCTTAGGAAGCTTACATGATTGCTGTAACTCTGGATGAATGGAAGAAAAAATTGGAATCCCCTAGCAGGGAAATCATTATCTTGCACAACCCAAAGGTGAGGCAAACGTGATGATCTCTGTTGGCTGGCAAAGACATCCCTCAGAGATGGAAGGAAAGCCACTGCATGCCTCCCCCTTTAGTTCTCTTTGGGGCCTGTCTTCACACTTGTTTTAAGTTTTTTGTCCTTAACCATGTCAGCTTAGAAATCAATTTTGTCAAAATGGCATTCCCTCTCCTACCTACTCAAGAGCAGATAATATCATCTGTGGAGAGCGAGCCTGTTTCACACCACATTTCTCTTTAAGCACCTTTCACTTTCTTTGTGCAAAGGGCTCGTACCAGTGCAGTTACGATAGCATCGTTCTGTATCATCGCAATATCTTACATACCAGCTGTTGTAGTGAAATGACACTTCAGGTATTTGGTAGAAGGACTACCAGAAATTTCTCTTCGACTTAACCATGTTATGCACTGCAGCTTAATGACAGGCTCTTCTTGTTTACAAGCTCATGGTGCACTACCATCCAGTTGCTACCTCTGACGACTGGGGTTCAACTCCTATGGAACAAGGTCGACCTCGAACTGTAAAGAGAGGAGTAGAAAACATTGCTGCTGAGATCCCCAATGGTAAGCTTGCATTCTCCCTCTCTTATACCTATGCAAAGCTACAGTCTGTTTTCCACACTGTTTTTTCAAAAAGATTGATGGAAGCATTCACGATTCTTTTAAATGAAGGGCATGTTTAAAAGTTCAAAGCCATAAGGAACTGAATGACTTTCAGAAACCTTTCTAGCGTCAGAGAAACGTAAATGAACGCATAGGAGGTAAGGCACATGGGAAGAAGGTGATGTGCTTCCAGCTCCTGCATTTTGAAACCAGAGCTCTTGAAAGCACTGCAGTACCTGAAATTACTTCTGAGGTCTTGGCCTCTATGTCCTTAAAGGAAGAGTTCCTTTCCATGGTAGGGACACAGGGGTTTTAACTTAGCTACATACAGGTGCGTAGCTGGAGCATGCGTGCTCTCCCTTTTTCTGTGGGTCAGCTCTGTCCCTTCTCACCAGTGCTTGAGCTCTGTTGTCAGACCTCATGACCTAACCCAGTGGTGAGGGCAGGCATGTTTGCTCCCATCCAGCCCCTTCATTATCAGTGTGTGCATGCCTTCAGAAAAGTACTTAAGCAAATTAAAGTGTGTGGGGGAGGAAGGAACAAAATGTAACTCCACCTGGTGTCTACTTCAGAGCTGCAGCTTCTGCCAGGCCTCCGGAGTGCTAAGCCTTTAACTATGCACAGGCTTGGTGACTCACCAGAGAAGGTTGTGCACAGAGCCCTCAGAACAAGTCCTCCCGGCTGTTGTTCTCCCTCTGCTAGGAGGGTCTCCCGTTTTATGTGGCAGAGGTGACTGCGACCCAGACGCAGGGCAGGTGTAAACTGTGGGGAATATCCGCTTCTGCTCTGGCTTGCTGAAGTGATGATGGCAACAGAATTGGTGAGGCTCTTTGAGCCATCTCACCTTCCTTGATTGTCCCATTGAGGTGGGGTAGGGTGTGTGTGCGGGGGGGTGAGGCGTTCTTACAGAATTTAGCAGGACGAAGTTCTGCAGTTCAGAAACGTGAGAATTTCTACTACTTTTAAAGCACAAAATCCAGGCACTCACTCAAGTTTTTTTTCTCACCTAGACTAAGATGATGATGGGAGGTTCTGTTCTCTTGCAGAGTATTTGGTTTCAGTGGATCAGTTTACCACTTAGGTAATGGTCTCCTGCAGGGCCTGGGCTTTGAACTATTCTTTTATTCTTAGGAGAACCTCTGCAAATTGATCATCTGGTTTTCGTAGTTCACGGGATTGGCCCAGCGTGTGATATTCGGTTCCGGAGCATTGTCCAGTGTGGTAGGTGTGGAGCAAGGGCTGGGGTACTCTTTCCATATGCTGCTTTTAGCAGAGCAAGTAAACCCCAATCTGCACAGACAATATGACGTGCTATCAGAGTGCATTCAGTCCATCCTGACGCTCAGCTTGGCAAGTTGCGCGGTAGAATTTGCTGACTGCAATGAGGAGTTTGAATACAACATTTTACTAACCCATGCAATTCTACCATCTGGAAAGGTTTGGACAACCACTTTTGATCACTGTTCTGCTGCTGCTCAAAATAGTGAGTTTCCCAATTTGGATACAGATTTTCCAAGTAACTGTCTAAACCTGCTAAACTAATTAGTAACCTATTCAGTCTATTGCTATTGGTTAATCTCTTTGGGTGAAGTCTAACATATAACACCCCTTAGAGCAACCTCCGGAGTGATTTGGGACCTAAAAACAGGGACACAACTTCTGGCTCAGGAAATTCCTGAGCTGCAAATAGTTGAAGGTTGGGAGAGTGTGTGAAGAGGTATCGCTGTTCTAACACACTTCCCTAAGCACCCATTCTTGATTGCTATTGGAGACATGACACTAAACTAAAAGCTCTAGTCTGAGCCTGTACATTATTTGCTCAGAATGCTTCCATTCTGTAGGAGACATAGTAATTGAAATTGCCTGCAAGCCTAGCGTGATTTAACTCTGTAGAAATCAAAGGAGCTGAGATTTTTCACAGCAAGCTGTCTTTAGTTCCTATAAAATATACCTCTACTTTAATACAGTCTATTCTTTTATATGTTCATCTAATGAAACTATTTTCAAGGCTACTGACCACCTGAAATCAAGGAAATCGGGTCTCTCTGCCTCCTCCAAATTAAGTAATTTCAAGTGCATATCCTCCCTTAAGATTCCTTTTCTAATGTATGCATTGTCACAACAGATTTTTTTTCCAACTCCTGAAAGCACCTTTCTTATCCTGGCTGCTGTGTGAAAGCCTTGCACTTGTGGAAAGGAGGCTTGTTACAGATGGAACAGCAAAATCCAGCAAACATAAGAACATGGGGCCTTCCCCTGATCTTGTAGTTAAAGACAAGGTCTTAGGGTAGCAGCAAGTCTTGTTGATGCAGTAGGCTTGCCCTATAGCCCTGTTCATCGTCGATCTTGAAAAGAGTTCATGCTCTCTTTCAGTGAATGACTTCAGGAATGTTTCCCTGAACATGCTGCAAGCACATTTCAAGAAAGCCCAGGAGCAACAACAGATTGGCCGGGTTGAGTTCTTACCTGTGAACTGGCACAGCTCCCTCCACTCTACTGGGGTGGACGTGTAAGTGTCCTAGATAGCAGTCTCCTGCAGCGTCAGTCTCTGTGGAAATGAATGCCCTGCTCTGCCAAAGCACACAGACAGCCTTCTCCTGGGTATGTTGCGCTTTCCCTAGCAACCACTGCAGGAAAAAGAAAAGCTTTGAGTGTTCTCTGGGGCTCTGATAACCCAGAGTGTGCACAGGTGAACGGTATAGATGGGGTCCCCCTCAAGCACCTCCCTGCCAGACCCTCTGCCCTGCTGTCCAGCACTTTTTGGCAGCACAGCAAGTGTCTACTCTGATCAGTGCGCAGCAGGAGAGGAAAGGGGTCTGCCTGTTCATAGCTAATACTAGAATGCAAAGTGGGACTGTGGACATTCCTGTCTTATTAAAGATCTCTGGAAACTGAATACCCCATTTCTCCACTTGGGCACTATTTGCAGTGTCCTGGCAAGGGAAGAAAGCAGGTTAGATTCTCTGGAGAAGGGTAGGCTCCTTACAGGAGCCCTCCTTCTGCCACGGAGGGCTCCTGTGCGCTCAGAGGAAAAGCCTTGCTCTAGCTTCTGTTTTAGCGTGAGCTGAAAATCTGGGTTAGAACATCACGTCCTTTGAAGACAGTGGCAATCTTTCTATGAACTTAAGGCCACAGTTTTGCCGTAGAAGCATGATAAGAGTTCACTGGCATCTCTAACTGCAATTTCCTCCCCCCTCTTTTTTTCCATGTAGTGACCTGGAGCGAATTACTTTGCCGAGCATCAATCGCCTGCGCCACTTCATAAACGACACCATTCTGGATGTTTTCTTTTACAATAGCTCCACCTATTGCCAGACCATCGTTGACACGGTAGCATCAGAAATGAACAGGCTGTACCAGCTCTTCCTGCAGAGGAACCCTGACTTTAAAGGAGGGGTTTCCATTGCAGGTCACAGCTTAGGTAAGGAGTTTTGCCTTGGGTCCCCCTGAGTCCCAGGGCAGTACGGTAACATCCATAGTATGGGAGAAGGAGGGTAGTTTGAATTTTCTAGGCATGTTTTCAGCCTAGAAGGGAGATGGCTTGTGTTTTTTCCATTACAAGATGCTGATATTGTGTGTGTGTGTGTGTATGTGTGCACCGGCTTTCTAGGGTCCCTCATTTTGTTTGATCTTCTGACCAACCAGAAGGCTGCTCCTGAGGATGAAGAGCACAGCAAAGAGGTACACTCCCTGTGGCTACCCATTTGCATGGGTATGCTGTGTGTATTGCTGTACTGCAGTTGTACACCCCTCCGCATCTGTAGGAGGAGAGTAGTAAATTCTCAGGTTGAACCACTGTGGCTGTTTTGGGGAGGGGGAGAGAAGAGAAATTCCAACATATATAGGAGAAAACAAATCGGCCAAAAACTTGATCCTTGATGATTGTGTTCAAAGGGGTCCAGGACAACTTCAAGCAACGGAGGTGTTGAGCAAGTCAAAGAAATCCTGAAGACGTTAGAGCTGTCTGAATACTGTGATGTTTTTGAGAAGGAGAAAATGGACAAGCAAGCATTGGTAAGAGTTCTCATTTCACCATCTCTTGGTTTCTTTGTTTTTCTTCCTGCCCACCACGTGCCCATCTCCCTGGTACTGAGTCACTTTCACATGAATCGTCTCTTAGGAGTGCAGCAGGAACAGAATGATAGAGAACATAAATATCTAACTGCACACATCTCTGCTCCAGTAGTAATATCTTTGCTTATTCTCTAGTTCTTGTGTACAGAAAAAGATCTTAAAGAAATGGGAATTCCCTTGGGACCAAGAATGAAGATCCTACATTACATCAGCTCCAAAAGGGAGATGCAGGTTTGTCTTCTGCGCGATTTACGTTCCTTCTAGATCACATTCCCTCGCTCTCAAACGAGAAGCCGTTTTTACCATTTATGGTCAGTCTGGTGCACAAACATGATGTGAGGCCTCAGTCCCTGAGCACCCTCCTCATTCCTGGCTGTTCTTGTTTAGAGAGCCTTCACAAGGGTGTTGTTTGGTTGTGGCAACAGAGCTGCTTGCTGTTTCTAGCTGCAGCTGCTTTTGTGGGTTACACTGAATAAGGTAATAGTGCTTAGAATGACACTCTTGCTTTTAAGAGATGTTCTAAAAAAGCTGGTAACGCTTCCCAGTTTGGTTCTGGAGGATAAGGGATCCCAGTCAGTTCACTGCCTTGCATCATTACTTTTTCCTTCTCAAAAAAACATCACAGTATTGGGTAGGAATGGCTGGCTGTTGTGTGCAATCCTTGCAGGAATTGCACTATTTGCTGTTTGTGTTGTTGCAGGATGTCAGTGACCAGAAAGCAACAGCTGCTGGGCACAGTGGGAAAAGCAGAGTAGAGCCTGGATCTTCCACTCAGTTTGACTCCGACACCACAAGTGATGGAAGGAATTGCCAGTACCGGGATGTTGGCTTAGGGCAGGTAACTATTGGGCTTTCCGTGATACTCTAATTGGAACAATGAAGCACTTTTAACACCAGCACAGAGATTGTCTCATGAAACAAATCCAAATCTCCCTCTCTCCCAGGTCTCAGCAAACTATCCTCAGCTAATCTACAAGCCTACCATCTTCTTTGCTTTTGGGTCTCCCATCGGGATGTTTCTCACTGTGCGAGGAGTGAAGCGGATCAACCCAAACTACAGCCTGCCCACCTGCAAAGGCTTCTTCAACATCTTCCACCCCGTATGTATAAGTCATAGCATGCCTGCATTAAACATGTGGAATGTCACAAAGATGGTTAAGGGGCTGGAGCATCTCTTGTACAAGGAGAGGCTGAGAAAGCTGGGACTATTTAGCCTGGAGAAGTGAAGGCTCAGGGAGGATCTTATCAAGGCATATAAATATCTGAAGGGAGGGCGTAAAGAAGACAGGGCCAGACTCTTCTCAGGGTTGCCTGGTGACAAGACAAGAGGCAATGGGCACAAACTGAAACATAGGAAATTGTCCGAGTGTAAGAAAAAAACTTTCTTACTGTGAGGGTGGTTGAATGCTGGAACGAGTTGCCCAGACAGGTTATGGAGCCCCCATCCTTGGAGATATTCAAAACCCAACCGGACATGGTCCTGGGCAATGTGCTCCAGCTGACCCTGCTTGAGCAGGGGGGGTTGGATCTGATGATCTTCAGAGGTGCCTTCCAGCCTCAATCCTTCTGTCATTCTATGTAACATAAACCTTTTTTCACTGCTTACTTCCCCTGTACAGTTTGACCCAGTGGCATACAGGATTGAGCCCATGATCGTCCCAGATGTGGAGTTTGAGCCGATGCTGCTTCCTCACCACAAGGGCAGGAAGCGAATGCACCTAGGTAAAGTAAATAATAGGCCTTCCCCAGGCTGCCCTCAGGCTTCAGTAGCTGCTGCTGCTGCTCTACAGGCTGACATTGAGCTGCATTTCAGAACTGAAAGAAGGGCTGACTCGCATGAGCGTGGATCTCAAGAACAACCTGCTGGGATCCCTGCGGGTAGCCTGGCAGTCCTTCACTCGAGCCCCGTTGCCAGCTGTGGAGGCTGCAGCTACTGACACTGAAGCAGAAGCAGAGACCAGTGTGGAGAAGCAGGCAGGTCCGTGATGAACGTGGGCGTGTGGGGGAGCTGAGGATATAGCATCATGACCAGCCCAAGGAGCACCATGTTCTCTGATTCCCTGCAGCCACGCTGGCTAGTTACCCATCCTAGCTTCAAACCCGGGTGGAACTGCTGTTTTCTGTGCTCAGCAAATGGATTATTTGAGCCGCTGAAGCACTTGTCTTTCCCAATGCTGTGGCCTTCCCTTGTTATTGCCTGGCAAAGGGGAAGATGAATTTGGCCTTCCCCCAAGCACTTGGCACTCCCTACTTTCAGAGGGCAACCCGTCTGGCCAGTAAAGGCCTCCTGGGACTTGTGACACACACCACTGCTTTGTAAGACTGCCAAGCCTATCACCCTTCTCTAGCTGTCTCTAGCAATACTGTTCTATGAGAGTCAGAGAACCAGGGCAGGGAGAAAGGGACCAAGCACATAAGTTCTCTCTCATCTGCAAAAAAGAGTCCAAAGTGAGAGCTGGCCTACATTTCTTCTTGTCCTATCCATTAGGTGAAGGGGAGGGCAGCTCTGAGTATACTGTTATGCTGCTGCATTTTCATAATGGAAACGGGCACCAGCAGTTGTGGTTGAACCACATTGCTCTGCTTTATTCCTTTAGAAACAAAGCCAGAGACGCCTGAACCGGTGAAAGAAGAGGCCTCCCACATTAATGTGGGGATGTTGAATGGAGGGCATCGCATAGACTATGTGCTGCAGGAGAAGCCAATAGAGAGCTTTAATGAATATTTATTTGCACTACAAGGCCATCTCTGCTATTGGTAAGCTTCTGCATAACCACTAGGCTTCAAGTTCATGTCTGATAACGTTCTGTCTACATCACCTTTAAAGTTAATACAGGAAAAAGCCTTAACTGAGTAAGCAAGCTATGCTCCTTGCCTGTAATACAGACACAGTGGGTGGGTAGGGCCAGAGGAAGAAAACCGGTGAAGTTCTCCTTTCTCAGTACTATCTGCTGAGGGCTGCATCTACACCATAACCACCATGGATGCCCTGAAAGAACGGAGAGAAGTACCCTGCTCTAATTCCAATGTTCTCCTCCCTCAGGGAGTCAGAAGACACTGTTTTGTTGGTTCTTAAAGAGATCTACCAGACACAAGGCATTACACTGGATCAACCTTTGCCAGGAAGCCAATGACCAACCTGTGCTCTTCTGGCAGTTTGATGTAAGTCACCTTGCCTATACCTTTGTTCTGAATTTCCTAAGAGACCTTAGAAGGCATCTGGTCCGCTTGAGGGAAAAATGTTTCATATTCTTGTCGCCATGCCAAAGGGAAGAGATCATTTAGGGTTTTTTTCTGGCCTGTCAGCATGTTTGGCTTCTTTTCGCCTAACTTGCACACAAGCATTATCAGGCACAAGGATGGCTAATAGATTTCTGCTGCTGAAGATATGGGCAAGAGCAATTGCTCATGGCATGTATGATCATTTGCATCCACCAAGGAAATGACCAGATATGAAGCCTATACTTTAAGCCTCCTGGGCTAAACATTTCTTACAGACATGTAGGGAACCACAGCATGAACCTTGCTGTTATTACAGAGCGTGTATTCACCCTATGCTGCAGATTGTTGGGAGAGGGTAGACTAAGGGAAAGATTCATTCTTACTGTTTCTTGTACTCCAGGTCTACTGCTGGCAATTGCTGGATACGGGAGACTGGGCCAGATAGATGGTCTGCTGTAATACAGCTATTCTTACATTTTTCTTTTGCTTTCTTAGACCCAAACTAACTCAGTACTCACCAGGAAAGTCCAGATTTCTTCTCTGCCTTCCTCCCTCCTCTGCTGCTGTGTCCTGCATGCTGCTTCCCAAGTACCTGCTGCTACCTGGAGATGTGGATGATTTTCCTCCATTTTGGGTAGAAAAATCAAAGGAAAACACTTCTGCAAAAACACACACAGCACTTGCACTGTGACTCCCTGTGGCAACATGTACTCTTAACCCTTCACCCTACAACCTGTGTGACCACCTTGTAAGTTATCACACCAGTACAAACGCAGACTAGATGTCTAGGCTAGGAACTGACATACAAGGGCCTGAAATCTGCTCCCGACTTAGTGAGGAAACTTGTAGCTTGCAACCTTTGAGAAATAAAAGCCTTAAAAGTGCAGTGTGGAGAGAGCTATAGCAGGCTTGCTGAGCAAAGGGGCCTGCTGACTTCTCTCAGGAGAAGGATGAGGCATTGTCTCTTTCCC